TAAGACCGAAATTTTGTATGATGGACGTGTCCAGTGACGCGCTACTTTAATACGTTTTAGATACTAATCAAATAAATATTAATATAGGTACGTTACCTACCATAAAATATTAATACCAACTTTTTCTGATTTATCATGACTTCAAATTACATTACAATAGGCAATAATTATTGGCATTCATAATGTGTGTATATATATATATATATATATACTTACCTAACAAACGACAATTGTCAATTATTATAACCTATACGATTTTTAAAGAGAAAAAATAAGCATGTCTTTAATTGAATGACTTATGATTATTATTCTGCAACAATATGATTTGCAATTTTATAACCATTGTTACATTATAGGTAGAATTACAAGCATACAAAGATGGATGGGAACATCACTGCGGAGGAGCTCTAATTTCCGAAACGATAGCTTTAACGGCTGCCCACTGCCTAAAAGACTTTAAAAAATCCCAACTCCGTATTATAGTTGGTAAACATAATTTAGCAAAAAACGATAAACATGAAAAAACCTATAGAGTACAAAAGGCATTAGTACACCCCGAATTTAGAAAAGGTAGGTGAAGTACCTATATCTATTTATAAATAGATATAGCCATCTAATATTTTTTTATTTGGAAACTGGTTTTTAGGTTTAATTTTAGGACTTATTAAACATTCATATATCTCTTTGATCAAGTTTTTAAACTCCGTTCGAAAAAACTATTGTTTTAAAAATATGTTTAATTTATTCCCAAATATTGTAGTGGTTTTTTTAAATTTATGAACCTACAACCAACATTGAAGTTATTAATAAGTACCACCTATTAAACTTTTTTCAATAATTTTTTTTTACATAATAAAGAAATCGATTTCTTAGTCAACTTTTATAACATTGTTGAACATTTAAGTGTCTTACAGTTGAAATTATAATGTAATTTAATATTTTAATTTACCTATTCACAATTATAACATTTCAGACGGACCACATAGCCATGACATAGCGATATTAAAAATTAATTCATTGAACAGTAAAGGAGTAAAATTTGATTCACATGTGCAACCAATATGTTTGCCGGATTATTATACGAAACCCAACGACGTAGATTGGTGTACCGTGACAGGTTGGGGAGCACAAAAACGTATGTAATATATTAATCTACCTAACTTTATTTACACTGTACATACCCAACTCATCTTGTATGGCCGTGTTCCGTGTATATATAATTATAAGTAGTGAAAAACTATAGTAATAGTATTATAGTACATCATGATTCATGATCGTATAGTTAAATCCAGTCTGGATTTCCGGGTGTACTGGGAAAGGGGGGGGGATTGAAAATAAATTTCTTACAAACTTTATTTAAATAATTTATTAATAAAAATGTTGTTATTAATTAACAATTTTAGGGAGATGGGATTCATCCACATAATCCCCCTAATACGATCATGTAATTATGTAAGTTGTAAGACAATATTACTGTATAACTCTTATTTAATATTTATGGTATATCGGCCTTTTGATCTACAGWGTGTTTTATTTGTGTATGTGAATGTTTTTACAATATTTAAATATATTTTTTTTAGAAGACGACATGACCAGTTTGTCCAAAGTGTTGAAAGCAGCTTCAGTACCCTTGCTGGACTTAGAAACCTGCAGACATGACGATGTATATGGAGGTCGACACCAGTTTATATTGGATAGTATGTTGTGTGCGGGAAGTTTAGAAGGAGGAGTAGATGCTTGTGGAGGTGATTCTGGAGGACCACTGGCCTGCCAAGTAAATGGTAGGTTCTAAGGATCAAATTAAATATTAAAGAGAAGGAATGGTACTGTGGTAGTAAATACACAATTTCAGTTCAATATGTAATAATTAGGTGTGGTGTGAAATTAAGAAAATAGAATTTTATAGGAATTAAGTGTTCATTTTTAAACCAAAAGATAACTAAAAGATATTGATKTAAACCATAAGATTTTTTCTCTTTCAGGAAAATTTATATTGACAGGTGTGGTATCATGGGGCGATGGATGTGGAAAAAAAAATAGGCCTGGTGTGTACACACGTGTGTCATATTACACAGAGTGGTTAAAAAAAGTTATGACAGAACTACAGAATAATTGAACTACTTGATGAAAAAAAATTCATTATGATTCTTTAAAGTAGATTTAAATTTTATTATATAGAATAAAATTGCATGTAATATATATATATATATATACATGTGTGTAAATTGTTATGATGTACATATCTATGTGTTTTTTGTAAATAATGTAAATCATGCAAATTAAATAATGTACAGCTATTGAATACTTGAATATAATATTTTATACAACTATAAT